GTGTATCCTCATGGATCTGTCTGTGCACTGAAAACCCAGGCAGTGCTGGTGGCTGTTTGCACCAGCAACCCCGTGAGTTTGGTCACGTAGTGGCTCTGTTTGCCATGAGACATTGGTGGCAGTGGCAGGACAGGGATGACAGCCAGGCAGAGCCCAGGGGACGGGCACATCCTGACTCCAGAGCATCTGAGGGGAATTAGGGTGACAGAAAAGAGTCCTCAGCAGCCGTGCTCGGAGCCCTCTGCGCCCAGCCCAGCCCTGCAGTTGGCAGTTTCGACCCTAAAGGGCTCCTCTTCCCCTTCCTCCCCTCATGGCCCCTTTTTTCAGGTCCCAAAGGGAGCATGTGTGTGAGCAAATGCCTTGGCTGAGGTGCAGGGACTGCAAAAGGCAGATGGGCTGGGGGGAGGCTGGGAGGAAAATATCCTGGCAAAGCTGCTTGAAGGGAAGGCAAAGAACTCGCCAAAATTTTTAGAGCCAAACATTATCCACCCTGTCTGCCTGTTACCTGCACCTCTCTTCACAGCACTGCCACTGGGGCAAGAGCCCAGAGGAAAAATACGTTTTATTATTGGGACTATCATCCCAAACAGACTATGGCATCTCTGTAGCCATGAGCAGATGGGCACTGAAGGATGCAAATCAATGTGGGGGATACAGAGGGGATGTTGTGGGATGCCAAGCCATGCAGATGAATGTATAGGGATGCATTGCACTGAGAGGATGCATAAGGAGCTCCTGATTGATGCTCTGGGAAACCTGTGAACACAGCAAAGGAAAGGTTTAACTCAGGAACCCAGAGCAGGGGGCTGGCAGCTGCTGCCTGATCCCCTGATGAGCACAGGGACAACCCCAGGCAGGGCAGAGCAGCAGCCACCACTTTGGCTGTGAGAGGGCAGCTCACAGGGGACCATGTCTGGAGGTGTTTGAGAGCCACACTGCAACCCCAGGGGCTGTGAGGGGGGTGATGATGTTGGGGGCACAAAGGGCCAGACCTTGGGGCACACAGCTGAGGAGATGGGGCTCCAGTCCAGCACACACCGAGGATTCTAAAGCAGAAACCACACTGCCTGATCCCTGCTCAGCGAGGAGGGACAAACCACCCCCAAGTGCTTCTCACTTCCCTCTTGAAGGTCACCAGGGTGGAAACTGCAAGTCTCTGGCTGCTATTTACAGAGGTGAGTTTCCCCTGCAAAACCCCGAGAGCTGGAGGGCTTGGGCCACTGCTCCAGGGCCATTGTTCAGGGACCATGCTCTGCCACACTCAACCAGCCCAGGCAATGCCAAAATCACAATTTCCTTCACCATCAGCTTTATCTCTGTACGGAAATGGGCCGCAGGCTCTGCCCTCTGCCCGGGCACAGCTTGAATGAGATGACTCTGCACATGGACAGCCACCAGCTGCCTGCAAAGGTGCATTTCCCCCCCAAGCCCTTGCACCACACAACCCCCCTTCCAGTGCCTCTGCCTTCCACTCCCTCCCAGGACACTCCACACATCTTCCCAGTGGGACACTCAAACCCAGAACAATCCCAGCCCTTTCACCAGATGCACAGCCACACACGTGGCACAGTGCTGGAGTTGCAGAGTCCCTCTGGCCATGGTGCCTCCTCTCCTGGTCCTCACTCCAAGCCCTGCAGTCCATGGGATGGTGCCGATGCTGCTTCCGTCCCTCCCACAGGATCCAGGATGTGATGGGCCACGTCCAGCCATGAGCTGCTGTGTTCCTCTGCTTTGGGCTGTGTTCCCTGTGAGCAGGTTCAGCTTCTGATGTCCCTGCAATGGACACAGTAGGAAAACATCCTTCTGATGAGTTGCAGCTCACCACAGCAAGCATGAAGTGGGAGTTTTTGAACCGAACAGCAAAACCCTTGATGCTGCTCCACTGGCATTTATAGTAACAGATATTGCTGTTTCCTTCCTCATTCAGCAGTTTCTGCAGAAAGGTCCCACTGGACTGAGCTGAGTCACTGCTCCACTGTGCTCCCAGGGCCCTGTGCCCCTTCCCTGCAGCACAGACACAGCACAGCCCTGCCCAGCACCTCTGCAGGAAACAGGGAGAATCCTCTGGAGGCTTCCAGCAGCACAGAGGTGGCTCTTTCCCACTGGGAAACCAAGGTGTGTTATTCATGCTTTGTGCCTTGAGCCCAGTCAGGACCTTGGTTGCTCAGACAGGACATAGCACAGCTCTCCTGCCTCCCAGCCATGGATGCACCAGAGAAAATCAGTATTTAAAGTATCTTATTGGGGCCCACAAGATGAGCTGTGAGCAGGAGACAAAACAGTGGTGTGGGCTGACCACCCTTTGGACAGGGAAAGGATGGATGCCCCAAGAGATGCTTGGTCCCCACAGCTGCCTCCTCCACAGAGCAAAACATCCTTCTCTGTGGAATAAAACATCCCAATGGCACAGGCTGCCCAGGGCAGTGGTGGAATCACCACCCTTGGAGGGATTTAAAAGACGTGTAGATGTGGCACCTGGGGACATGGTTAGTGGTGAACATGGCAGTGCTGGGTTAAGGTTGGACTCGATGATCTTAGGGGTCTTCTCCAAATCTAATAATTCTGGGATTCTATTGCAGCCAGGTGATCCAAGGGCTGGTGCCACAGAGCCCCTGTCCCTCCAAGCCCCTCTGAAAGGTGGCTGCCTGGCCCAGGACACTTGTCCCTGCTCCCGGTGACACATCAGCCCGCAGTGTCCCTCCCACCGTGCCCCGCACTCCCGGCAGCCCAGGGACCCGACGAGCCAATGCAGCGCGCTGGGTGTGTGGCCGATTTGCATGGAAGGGATAAGGGGAAACCCCAGGAAATGCACAGCCCAGGCATTAATCAAATCGGTCTCTAATAATAAACCCCCCAAGCCATGCAGGGGTCCGGGGCTGGAGCTCGTGGTGCCATGGCAGGAGCCGAGGGGGATTAGACACCGTGGGAGAGTCAAACGTGAGTCACCCCATGGAGGGGCTGCACGGGGAGATGGGGGTGAGGGGCTGGTCTGTGCCAGGGCTTGGGGCTTGGCCACGTTCCCAGAGTGCTGGTAGGGAGTGGAGGGTCTCCTCAGGTCCTTGCTGGAGGAGCAGAGCCACCACAAAGGGCTCCCACCCTGCTGAAGTGGTCAGTGCTGGGGGGCTGGAGGTGGAATCACAGAATGGTTTGGGTTGGAATGGATCTCAAAGCTCATCTCGTTCCCCCCCCCTCGATGGGCAGGGACACCTTCCATTAGCCCAGATTGCTCCAAGCTCCATCCAACCTGGCCTTGAACTTCCAGGGAAGTGTGGGAAACCACAGCTTCTCTGGGCAACCTGTGCCAGTGTCTGACTACTCTCCCAGGGAAAAATTTCTTTCTAATAACTGATCTAAATCTACCCTCCTTCAGCCTAAAGTCATTCCATCTTGTCCTATGGTCAGCTGATGCTTGGGATGTGGGATCCATGGGGGAATTCAGGGTGCTGGTCTCTAATGGGTGGAGGGACAGAGAGGCAGACACACCTGGCTCTGCTGGAAAACCCACAGCTCCAAAGCCCGGCTGCACCGTGCTGGGAGCACCATGTGCATCCTGGGGGTCTCCAGGGAGGGGAGCTCAGCCATCAGGCAGGATTTGTCCTAGATAGGGCCAAACATCTCCTTAGACCTGCCCTCGGAGCAGCTGGGAAGGAGGTCCCCAGGCTGCATCCCCCTGGCTTCGACACAGCCCCAAACCTCTGTTTCCCATGCGATTATCCCTTGGCAAACTCCACCTTGGGTCAAGGATGGCTGAGGCTGCCATTCCCAGGGTTCACTGCCATCCCCAAGGACTCCCGACATCCCCAGGGCTTCCTGTAACTCCCAAGGGCTTCCTGCCATCCCCAGGGATCTTGTCATTTTTTCCTCTCTGGATATAAAGTATCTTCAAAGAGCACTGGAGGAAACCACCTCCCTCTGCCCTGGGGATATCTCCAGCCAGCTCGACAGAAAGTCATTATTTAATTTTATAGCAATGTTAATTGAACAACTGGGAAGATAAGGCCAGCATCCCTGTGCTGAGAGAGGATTTATCCCTGGGAATGGGAGGGTTTTACCTGTGCTGCCCCAGGTAGGAGCCGGCCGGCAGCGGAGGACGCGCATCCACAGCCCCTCTGCAGGGTGGGCGATGGCAGGACAGACGGACACGCAAAGTGCCCAACCTCTGCACGCTCCCGAGTTCTAGAGAGAGAGGAGAGATCCTGGAGGAGCACAGGGGATTTTCTGGGTAAAATCCCAAGCCTGGCTTTGCCAAGGCAGTGGTGCAGCCTTTGGGCAGGCGGGGGCCAATTCCGCACCTTCGGAGAGTTTTAACCCTTTTGGGCCCCGTCAGCACCGGCATCACCCACCAGTGCAGGAAACAGCTGCGGCTCCTGGCACAGTTCTGCTGAGGGATGTGGTGTCCCACGAGCCCTCTCGGTCAGCACAGAGCACATTTCCACCACGGCCGCCCCCGTGCTGGGTTAGAGCTTCCTGCAGCTGCTCCGTGGCCGCAGACCCCGCACGTGGCGTTAACCCGGCACGGTGCTCATCAAGTGTAAGTTGTTGACCAGATTTTTGGGCTGCTGAGGGCTGCCCATGCCTCGTTTCTGTGACTTTGGTGTCACACCCAGCAGACACAGGCACTGGGAGCACCATGGCAGGGGATGGGGGGGCAAACAGCCCATCACAGGGACAGGAGCACCATCCCAGGTGGCACCAAAGCTCTCCTGGGGACACGTCCCTCCTGCTGCTTCGGAGAGTCTTACACATCAGATGGGGTTTCACTGTGATGCCATAACACCCAAGAGAGATGTCAGAAATGACACACGAACCACCTCGGAGCCACAGAGGAATTCAGAAGTTTCCAGAACTAAAATTTGTTTCAGAAAACGTCACCAGTGCTCACTTGGGTCGTGTTTCTGGTCCCCCTGTGAGTGATCCCAGCCCTAGAAAGGGATGAGGTGGCTGCAGAGCAGCTCCGTGGTGGCCACCCTGTACCTACCTGTGCCTCTCGTTCCACAGCCATGGATGGGACACGTGTGGGGCGGGATGCCATGAACAACTGCACCGACCAGGAGTACTGGGACACCCTCGTTTCCCAGTGCATCCCCTGCAGCCTTGTGTGTGGCCGGCCCACAGCCAGGAGGTGTGATGCCGTGTGCGGTGAGTGCCAGCAGGGCAGTCATGGGTACCACGGGGCTGTTCTGGGGTGGAGCAGGCAGGGATGGGGCAAAGCTGGGAGGGAGGATCAGACCCTGGGATGAACCCCAGGGTAGGCTCTGAGCCAGCTCAGCTTAGCAGAACTTTGGGCCAAAAATGCGGGACTTTTCGGCTCAAAAAATGAGCCAAAATGTCACAAAAATGCAACGGTTTCCCAGCAATGGGCTGGGGCTGGCACTGGCTCAGCACAGACCAGGATGGAGTTGCCCACTACACTGCTTGCTCCCTTCTGGGGTCACAGGGCTGCATTAACACTCATGTCCCCCACTGGTGTCACCCCACCCTCCAAAGGCAGGGCCTGGAGAACCATCAGGTTCAGTGGATGTGGATAATGATAAACCCAAGCTGTAGGTCTGTGAGGCTGAATCGTGGGCCCTGAGCTGGTACAGGCTCTGAGGTGTTGTGTAACAGGTGGGGAGGAGGAAAAGGTACAGATGCACTTTGCACCCAGACCCTGTGCAGTGCCCCTTCCCTCCCTGGTGAGCCACAGTCTGGGATGGCTCCACCCTGTCCCAGGGCTCAGGGGACACAGCCCTGCACACGCAGCCACAAGTCACATCTCTCTGTTGAGGACAGAGATGCCACCCCCAGCATTCTGAGCCAGGGCTCAGGCAGGTTTTGGTATGTCCCAAAAAGCTGTGCAAGCCCCAGGGCAGCAGCAGCTCTAAGAGCAGCAGCCAGGAGCTCCCAGCTGCAGGTGGGTACAGTTGGCTGCAACCATTCCCTCCCTGTGCAACTGCCAGCAGATGCCTTTCCCCAGTATTCACCACCCAGCCAAACACCACCCCAAATCCCGTGGATCTGTCCCCCTGCCAGTCCTGGAGAGGTTGTCCATGTTTATGGCAGCGCATCGGAACCGTGAGCTTGGGCTCGTCCTCTCAGGAATCCGGGTGCCCAGGGGTGCTGGGAGGGTGGTTTGGGAGCCTCGTGTGGGAGAATGTGCTGAGGACACCGTGTTCATCTCCCTCCTCTCCTGCAGAGTCCATGGACTGCAACAAGACCCCTGGATTCTACTACGATGACCTCGTGAGAAGCTGCATCGAGTGCAGCACCATCTGTGGGCAGCACCCCAAGGAATGTGCCCCGTCCTGCGAACGTGAGTGTGATGGAGGAGGGACCAGGGGCTGGGCTGGAAGAGGAGCCAGGTTACAGGACTGAAGTTGGGGAAGGGGCAGCAAAGCCCACCCTGCTCTTCGTCCTGGGAGGGGGGGGGATGCAGTGCCTTTTCCCTGTGGTGTGCCAGTGATTTACAGGCCTGTCAGCTCCACCAGCCAGGGCAGGACTGGCACCTGCAGATCCCACCTGGATGAGCCGCCCCCAGCCCTCAAGGAGGGGAAGTGAGAAGGGACTGGTAGATCCCAAGACCTACAAGTCCCATACAGAGGTTGAGACAGTGAAATGATCCCTGGAGGTGGGGGAAGGCTGAGCACGGGGTGTGGGAAGGGATCTCCTCTATCTCACCCTGGAAGAGAAATGCCAGCAGACAGAGGGGTACACAGCTGCCCTCAGATTCTTTCCCAGTGGAGTGTTATCAAAAGTCGGTGAGGGAATCACGTACCCGAGGGGTGTCTGAGCTCACCCACCTCTGCCTGACCCGCAGCCTCTCCCCCGTCGCCCGCGGCCGTGCTGGAGCAGAAGGCGTGTGCGGAGCAGGAGCCGTGGCTCGTGGTGTATCTGCTGCTGGGGCTCTGCCTCTGCGCCCTCATCTGCTCCCTGCTCCTGGGCTGGACACACCTACGCAGGAAGGGAGAGGTGGGCTCCTGCCAAGCCGGCGCTGGGACCTGCCACTGCAGGGAGGACTCTGCCAAAGGTGGGTGCTGGATGTACTGGGGGGACTGGGAGAAGGTGGTGGGCAGGCTCAGGCTCCCAGGCACTGCTGGAGGGGCAGGAAACAGAGCCAGATCCTAAGAGGGAGAGGGAGATAAAGTAAAGCCAGTGATGGGCAGTGCCATTCAGCCTGAGCCTGGAAGGGGAGCAGGACTGGACCCCTGTGCCCCAATTCTCCTCCATAATTCCCTTCTCAGTCACTCCCCACAAAGTCCCAGGCACAGCTTCCTGCTGCCACACAGGGCTGGAGCTGGACCATCCACCAGCACCTCTCCACTCTCCATCCAGAAGCCAACCCTCTTCCAAAATGAACCACCTATCCCAGGAAGACCCAATTTTAGCTCTGGAGCCAGAGGGGCTTTCACAAGTCCTTGCATTAAGGAGAAAAAATAGTGAAAGGATAACGTGGAGGAATCCAACATGGAAAAGGAGTTTTTATTCTTCCTCCTCCTCTTCTCCCCTGCCTTTCCAAAAAAATTGTCTACTTACCTATTTCTCTACACACACAGTGCTGGGACCTGCCTGACCTCTCCAGTTCCAGGCCCAGCTCCTCATGAGTTTTAGTGCAGCCCTTTGGAGCATTCCTTAGGTAAAAGCTGCTCCTAAAAACCCCTCAGCTAACACAGTTTCTCTGCAGATCGGCTGGTGGAAGCGGGCAGTGTCGGTGAGGGATTCACCAGAGCTCCAGAGCCAGTGGAAACCTGTGGCTTCTGCTTCCCTGGACACGGCTCTGCTGTACAAGAGACCAAATCATGCCACAGCACCTTGTGTCACGCTGGGGAAAGAGCTGCTCCCTCCTACACCGGGATCTGCAGCACGGGAAGCGCTGGGGCCACTCCCAGCCCTGACGACGGCCACTTCAAGTTTTTTTGTTCTCCTTCCCAAGAGAAGACACCTATGGTGTGACCACAGTGGATGTTCCTGCACAGGATCAGAATGGAGGGGTGCTCCCTCTGCCCTCAAATCACAGTTGCTTCACCCTCTGCTGCCAGTGACTGGAACAGCTTCTACCCAGACTGGCTGACCCAGCTCAGGCTTTGCCAGGAGCTGAAGGATAAAGTGAAGGCTGGAGGTTGCACAGGGCTGTTTGCTCCCACTCAGGAAGTTAAATTCTCTTATTCTTGTGCACTCCCAGTGAGTGACAGAAGTAACTTCCCATTTAGCAGCACCTGACTTCATCCTCCCTTGTGTCCTCCCTGACCTCCGCAGACCCTCCCTTGTGTCCCAGCCATTGGGAGGGATGTCTCGTGGGAGCTCTTCAGCCTGGTCCCACCATCAGTGACACTTTGTCCACCAGTCCCCACGGAGAGCTCACCTTTCCCTGCTTGGAATCTCCACTGTGCACCAGAACAATTTACAGCAGAGCTGTAAATACATCAAACATGGACTTGGATCCAAGGAGTTACTGGTTGAAGCTACAAGGATCCAGGGTGGAAAGCTCCACTGCCAGCTTCCAGCACTGCTTGGGAGGGGAGAACAGGTCAGTGCTGAAGGTGAGGCTTTACCTCATGACAGGACATGAAGAGCTGGGACAGGCACCAAAATCCTCAGTGGAATTTGGTTTAAATGTGGCAGCTCATCCAAGGCTGAGAACTTTCTAAAACACTGGATCTACATATGTTTGCTTTGGGTTACTCCAAATAGCTGTTAAAAGTGAGGAACCAGCTGCAGATTGAGCTGCTTCAAGGGAATATTTTTATCTGACCTGGCTTTGAAAGCTACCATAGAAAAATAAGGATTTCAACATATAACTTGAAGTTCTCATCTCAAATAAAGGAGAGTGTAGAAATTTTTTGCTTGGTGAGGAATTGCTCTTGGTAGGAGCTCATCCCTTCCACTTTCTCAAACTAAAACTTCAAGTTTGGAAGAATAAATGAGTCAATATATGTACAAACTGGCACTGGGAAAGCTGGAGAAAGCACAGAGAGTTATAAACAGACTCTGTCCCTTACATATTATGTATTTCTTTAAATGCAAATGCTTTTTTCTCATTAAAAAAGGCATCACTTGGGAGGGTGAGCCTTTCACTCTGGTCACCTCCCACACTCTCCCAGTACCAAGTCCATTGGCCTTCCAACCTCCAGGCCTCCTCTATCTCCCACTCTCTCAATGTGAAGACCCTCTTGGCCTCCCCTCTCACATTGCTACCTTCCCTTCCCACTGGGGCCTCCAATTCCACAGCATCATCTTCCATAGCCTTAGCTCCCTCCTGTGGAGTCTGCTCCAACAGGCTCTGCTCTCATGCCATCAGTTCCTGTGGTCTCCAGACCCGTGGTTTCCTGCCCCACAACCTCAGCTCCCAGAGTCTCCAACACCTTGGCCCCAAAACCTGTGGCATCATTAGCATCCCAGTTCCTCTAGTCCTCCAAGTGTCTTCCAGCCCCAGAAGTTGCCTTGGCCTCCACCCTTGTTCAGCCTCAGCACTCCCTTAGCCTCAGTTCTTTCTCATTCTGCATCTTTGCATAGACTAATCTCTCCTTCAGCCTCCCCAGTCTCTCGGTTTCTGTTCCAGCCCAGCCTCACTCTTTCTTGCCTTTCCACCATCTCCTGCTCTGCTGTTTGTCTCCTACACCCTTCAGTCTCCCCCTGCATTCTTGCTCAGCCTCTGCTCCTGCTGTCAGGCTCCTGTTTGTGCTCAGACCTCCAAAGCCTCTTGGTTTCTCCTCACCCTCCACTCCTGCTGTGTCCTGTTCCCTCTGTGCCTCCTACAGCACCACATTCCCCACTTTCCCTGGGGGCTCCACCAAGCCTGAACCCCCTCAGGTGGAGCCTCCCCAGCACCAACAGCATCTCTTCCTCCTCTTGGTTTCCCTTCCCTGCAGCCTGTCCCCCCATCAGCCTCTGCAGGGTGAATCCCAGAACGGTTTGGATTGGAAGGGATCTTGAAACTCATCTTGTTCTGCCCCCTGCCCTGGCAGGGACACCTTCCACTAGCCCAGGTTGCTCCAAGCCCTGTCCAACCTGGCCTTAGACACTTCCAGGGATGGGGCAGCCACAGCTCTTCTGGGCAACCCGTGCCAGAGCCTCACCAACCCTACAAGGAAGAATTCTTTCCCAATATCCCATCTAACCCTGCCCTCAGTCAGTGAAAGCCATTCCCCCTTGTCCTATCACTCCATGCCCTTGTCCCAAGTCCCTCTCCAGCTCTCCTGGAGCCCCTTTAGGCCCTGGAAGGGGCTCTCAAGTCTCCCTGGAGCCTTCTCTTCTCCAGGTGAACACCCCCAGCTCTCCCAGCCTGGTTCCAGCAGAGGTGCTCCAGCCCTTAGAGAATCTCCCTGGACTCCTCTGGACTTGCTCCACAGTTCCACCTCCCCCTCATGTCAGGGCTTCCAGAGCTGGAATCAGTGCTCAAGGTGAAGGGGTTTTGCACCTACCTTGGGGCAGCACCAGCACATCCTTCCCTTGCATCAGGACTGGGAAAGCTCCCAGCTCTGTGTCCCCTCTGCCCAAGCACTTCCCAGTGAGGATGGAGGTTCCAGGAGAAGGAAAACCCTCATGAACAGAAGGGGTGTCTCATCACTGCCCCTCCCCAGCAGGGAGCTCCCGTGGGCAGCACTGGGGACATGTGGCTTTAGCCCAGCTCTGGCAGCCTGTGGACCTTCAAGTGTCACCTCCAGGATCCCCCAGCCACGGCTGTGCAAGGAAATTCAGAACCTTATTTAAAACCAGGATTTAAAACCTGAACCCGTGCCACCGGTTTTGCAATTAGGGCATCCCTCGAGGATCAAGAGGCATCAATTATTCAAAGGAGAAAGCTTTTAGGGAAGTGTTTGTGCCAGCAACTGCAGGAGCTCACCCTGCGTGGCACCGGCAGCTCCTGCTCCGGCTGGCCCAGGAGGCCACTCACCTTCTCACACCCAGGCAAAGCCCATGTTGGGACAGGGCTGTTCCTCCTGTCATCAGGTGGCCCAGTGTCCCAGAAATTGGAGAGAACACTATCAGAAGCCAAGTGCTTTCCTCCTGCCCTGGGAGCAATCCCTCACCCTCCCCTCCCTGAGGGAATATAACTACAGTTATCAGCAGAGAACAGGTAACACAGAGCACCTTGAACAAAGCAGCAGTGAGAGTAATACACATCCTTAGTGCTGGGAGAACCAAGAGGAATCAATGGATTCGGTATCACATTTGCAGCCATTGGCCAGCAGCTCCAATGGATCACACCTGGAGACACCACTTCCAATACCAGACATTGTATGTATGGAACACAAGCAGTTCCAGCTGGGTGAGTCACACTAAATGGAATTAAGGGCACTAATTCTGAGCAGCAAGAGCACCCACCTGGGGTTTAACCAATTCTCCCATTTCTGCTTTTTCCATTGGGCACCAGCATCAGGCAAAGCTTTGGCTACAGTCGAGTGGCTGAGGGTCAGGAACATACACCTAAAGCCATTTTCTGGGTATTTTTGTGCCCCAAGTAGGGCTCTGTTCACTGCTGGCAGGTCACAGAACACACAACCACCATGAGCCTGCATCACTGCACCAGCCTTTGTTTCCAGTCATTTCTGCAGATGCCTCCTCCCAGCAGACCCAGCTGTGTCGATATGAAATGTGTCTCAAAGCAAACAAGTCAACCTCAAACTGCTCCCCGAGATGAGGAGGGTGAGCAGCTGAAGCAGCAGAGTTGTCACTCGAGGAGGAGGCAGGTTGTCACTGCTGTCTGTCAGCACATCGGGGAGGCTCCGCTTCACTCGTGCTCCGCGTTTTCCTACAGGAGACGTTGAGGGAGTTCCAGAGAAACCTCCCGGCTCCCCGGGGAATAACTCAGCACAGGAGCTGCACGGCTGCTTCTGAAGGGATGGAGGGCAAGAGAAGGTTGTGTTTGAGAGAAAGAAAGCAGCATGAGGGGTAGTGCTGCTCATAAGACAGCAGCTGCTCTTCCATTTTTATAGGAAGAGGGAAAATGCTCTCCCCTCCTCTCAGAACCTGCGCTGATTTACTGCTGCTGGAAACAGGACTGTGCCTGGTACAATCTGGGGAGGGACACGGAGGGTGGGATGGCAGGCAGGGGGGGGGGGGGGGAAAGAAAGGAATAAGAGCTTTTAATACACCAGGAATTCTGCTTTTGAAACCAGAAAGAGCCCTGAAAGCTCCCCCCGAAAAACCATCTGCGCCGGTGCAGTTGCACAGAGCAGAGCCCCCTTCACCAGATGGGCGGGGAGGAAAAAGCTAACGGTGATTTATACATCTGGCCTCGTCCCTGAACAGTTTGTTTCTAAAGGCTTAACAAAGCAGGCTGCAGTCGCTCCGGTGGCCGGGCGTGTGCCGTGCAAGAATTCATTAAGGCGGCAGCCAAAGGCTCAGACCTCGGCGCCACAAAGCGAAGGCTCCGGAGCACTCCTGACAGCCCGCGCGGTGGCACTGCTCCTCTGCTGCTCTGCTCCTCTGCTGCTCTGCTCCTCTGTTCCTCTGCTCCTCCTCTGGCTGCAGGACCCGCGGGAGCGCCAATGCAGCAGCCCTGGGAACGAGGAGAGGCTGATCTCGCCCTCCTCTGCAAGCCTGCTGCATTATTAAAAGGTAGCAGAGAGCGTCGTCAGGCATCTGCACGATCCCGCGCCCGATTCCGGGGGGGAAGGAAGGAGGGCCCCCCCTCCTGCGGGTGTGCCAGCCATCCGCATTTCTCCAGCCATTTTCCATTGGCGACAGGAACGCTCCGGGGAAACTGTGCAGCCCCCCAGTTACAGCTGGGAATTCTCTGAGGCACGATGGGTTACACAGGCAGGGGACGGGATGGCGACCCCCCCACCACACCCAGGGCTCTGGGTCTCAGCTGGCATTCGAGGTGCTTCCATTCCTTGCTCCTTCCTCCTTCCCCGTGTCAAGCTGTCGCAGAATTCTCTTGATGTACAAAACCTCCTCGTACTCTTCCAGTCTGTGTGCAAATCAAAAGAATTCCACCGCCCTTTTGT